CGGTATTACCGCAGGATTCACATTTAGGTCTTCTCGATTAGAGAAAACTAAATCTAAAATTCGGTCACTGGTATTTCGGACATTATTGAATTGTTTTAGATTCGATAGCGATACAAAATTCACGAAATATTCGCTCTTGATGTCAGTAGCGCCGGATGGTGCATATCCTATGGGGTCTGCGGGGTCACAAATCCAGTTCAATGTTGGAAAATTATAGTCCCCTATATTATGAGGAAGTTATGTTGAGAATTATTATTCACTATGTATTCGACTTTGTTGAGATGTAATTTCATATCATTCAGATTAATGTTTGGAGGAGCATAAACGCAACATACAAGTAATTTCTTACCGCCTTCCAGTGCTACTGACACCCAAAGCTCTTCAACTTTGCCGTTGGTGCTCCAATGAGATATGCTTTGTGATACAAATTCTTTTTTCACTCCAATTATCACACCCCCACCATCACTTTTTCCACTAATCACTTCATCGCGGTCTTTCCGAAAAACTTCATAAGTTGTTGAAAATAGTTCCATGTTTGTAATACTCTCTTCCAACCATGTTTCGGTAGCACATATCATCTCAAAATCATGGCACAAAGTAGCTCTACGGAATTGTTCGGATTTAGTTCTTAAACCTCGGGTATTTTGATAGTACACTCGTAACTCTTCGAATGCGATGATAGACCACAACTGCTTTATCATAATTATTATGATAGTGAGATGAGTTTAGGCGGAAAATTTGTTCAGATCAGAAATAGATCTAATTTGAATTGCGCGAGCGGTATCTGATTTTTTAATAAAGATTTTTCCTTCTCTTACCCAACAGTATTTGTATTCATTTGCTTTGGAGAATTCTCGAGCGTGTTTGAAAATCATTTTGAAATAATGTGTCAAATGATCGTTTAAATAAACTCGTGTTTTATTGGGAAATCCAAAAATATCAGAAAATATGTTGTGTCTATGTGGTTTCAGCTGCCTTACATTCAATGAAACATCCTCTAATGAATTTGTATTTCGTCGTCAATCTTACAAAGTGACGTAACTCAAAAATTGCCGATTTTGAGATAAGACCACGAAACCATTTATTTTTCGTAGAACTATCTTCTCACAAAGTGGCGTAACCCAATGTGGTGTATTTTTCCTTCAATAGCACATTCAGTAAGTGGCATATCTCAAAATGTTCAATTTTATATTCTCACATAGGGACGTATCTGGAGTAACGTCAGTTTGTGAGAGTATGTTATGAGAATTCGCCTATTCCAGGTCTGGCGTATCTGCATGTTGAGACTTGTTGAGACTTGCAGATTACACTGTATTTCATCAATTTCCAATAGTCTAATGCCACCAGTTGCAGTAAAGACGTTCGAGCACGCAGTCAGGGGTGGATTATAATTATAAGAATTACGATGGATGTGCTTGTATTATGGAAAGATGGCACAAAAAATGTTGTTTCATCGAATGAACTCATGTTTCGAGGTACCCTCAAGATCGGAGCTCAAGTGAATATGTTTTACGATAATGTATGGTACTGTGGAAAGGTAATTCAGACCGAATATGATGTAATCAGTGATGAGAATTCGGATTCCTCAGAGGACGTGCCGTTGTCTCAAATCAAAATTAGAATGCTTCAGCAACAAGAAGCATTTTCATCAGATGACAACTTACCCTTAGCTCAATCTAAAAGAAAATTGGAAAACCAAGTAGAACTAGTAGAAGAGGACACGACTAGCAATCAATTCAGTGAGAATGAATTTTATGATTCAGATGACGATCCACCATACATTGCAAGATGCGAATATCATAGATGTGGGATTGAAGTGTTCAGTTCGTGCCATCGTTGTTCGATTCTATTATGTTATGACCATTTTATCACTAATCCCGATTGTGATTATCATAAAAATCCAATGAGAAGAACACCGATAATTCCAAAATTATCTAACACGAGAATAAGTATTCAACCTGAACATCATCAAGTTGATGGACATGAGAAGGAAGGAGATCGAAGTAAAAAGATTCGCGTTAATAAGCAGAAATTAGCCAAGGCTCTGAGAAATGCTGGTAAAGCATATGAAACTGTGAAGGGTTCCAAAACGGTACCGTGTAGGAGTATAAAGCCAAGGTGCAATGGTGAAACCTGCAAAAAAAATGGACGTCTTTGTTCAACTATTGAAGATTTTCACAGGGGTGAGCTTTTTGATGGATATTATGCACTCGCAGATGTAAACCGTCAACGTGATTTCATAGTGCATCATGTGGAAATTTCAGACACCAAACAGAAGACATCAAGAAGTGAAGTGTCCCGTAGACAAAAATCGGTTCGTTATTATTTTTCAGTTAATAGAATCCGTGTTCTCGTATGTAAGACATTTTTCTTGAATACGCTGGGCATTTCGGAACGAGTGGTCAGGACTGCTTTGCAAAAGGTGAATGAAATTGGTGCTGTTGAATTGGACAGAAGGGGTGGTCGCAAGTCTGAAGCTATTATTCTGAGAGATAATATGATTCGTGAAGAAATAAATCAACACATTGACAGATTTCCAAAGATGGAGTCCCACTATTGTAGAAGCAGTTCTAGTAGAGAATATCTTCACCCAGACCTCTCACTGTTCAAAATATACTATCTTTATATACAATCACTGACGAACGATCAACACAAACCAAGTTTTTCAACCTATCAAAGAGTCTTTAAAACCAAAAAGTTGTCATTTCATACTCCAAAAAAAGATCAATGCTCATTATGCATGACCTATAAAAATGGAGATTCTGATGAGAAAAAGAGACTGGAAGTAAGATTCAATAAACATATTGCTGAAAAAGATGCTGTAAGAAAAATGAAAGATGATTGTAAAGTAAGAGCTGCTAGTGAAAAGACATTTTTATGTGCATCTTTTGATCTACAACAAGTGATCTATCTCCCAATCACCAATGAAAGTGCTATATTCTATAAAAGACGCTTAGCAGTTTTTAACTTTACATTTTACAATATTTCGAACAGAGATTGTTATTGTTATACCTGGCATGAGGCTGCGAGTAAAAGAGGTGCCTCGGAAATTTCAACTTGCGTTCATAAAGCTTTACTAAGATATGATTCGAAAGGATTCAAGATGGTTTCTCTATATTCTGACGGATGTAGCGGGCAAAATAAAAATAGTATTATGGCCACCATGCTGCTGCATACAGTTCTGAATAGTGAAAACTTAGAGGAAATCACCCTGAGATTTTTTGAGTCCTATCATGGACAGAATGAAGGTGATTCAGCCCACAGTGCTATTTCTTATGCTATAAAACATGCTGGTAATCTCTTTATTCCATCTCAGCTTTATCCAGTTTTCAAACTAGCTCGGAAGCAACAACCATACGATGTTATTCCCTTACAATTCGACGACTTTTTGGACTTCAAGACATTGTCGAAAGAGTTACGTATTCTGAATATCAAAACCACAGAAACTGGAGAAACATTTAAATGGAATGATATCATGGAGTTCAAAGTATCTAAACATTACCCAAAAACAATATTTTTCAAGACTAGTCATCTAGAGAAACATTATAAATCATTGTCACTGAAACGACTAAATAATAATAAGGATCTCAGAGAAGTTTCTGTCCAAAAGCTCAATGCACAAGTTAATAAAATATCAGAAGAAAAATACTCCGATCTGCAATCTCTTTGCACTGGGAATACTCCAGTTGTCAGGTTGCAAGAACACCAATTATTTTTCAGATTACTTCCACATTGAAGATGTATTAGTTATATTTTACATTCCACAGAGGCAATCTTTCTTTGAGGGTATTCCATGTTCCAAGAATTATATAATATTCTTTGTATTTATTATGGAAAAAATATTTTTATTCTGGATTTTGTGACCTGGTGTATTGTTTATTTCTATAATATCCTTTGTATTTATTATGAAAAAAATATTTTTATTTTGTATTTTGTGACCTGGTGTATTGTTTATTTCTTTAGGGTCGATAGAACATGTTTTTTCATTCATTAGTTTTTTTTAAACCAATGGAATACATTTTTGACAAAACCTTTATCGGACGTAAGTGGTTATACAATAGGATTATCTAGTCTCACAAATGGTCGTAACTCATGTTTTTTTCAAAATCTCAACGTCACTCAATTTTTTTTTACTGTTTCCATGAACAGTCAGGTAGAGAGAGTCCATACTCTATGTATACCAAAGATCATCCTGATTAGATATCTTCATCATCATTTTGTAATCACCTGAAGATTGCATACAACTTCAAACGGCTCTCCTGAAAAATCAGATAAACTGAGTTACGTCACTTTGTGAAATTGACGACGATTTGTTTTAATTTCGAAATTTCAAAACTCCTTCTCATTTCTTTTATTTTGCAACTTTTATATATATAGGAGATTTTTGGTATATCGACTTCTTTTGGCGAGTTCTATATGCTGTCCATATAAATGACTCAACTTTGACATCTCAAAAACCGTAGTTTCGAGAAAATCGCAATTAAAAATTCAGCTTATAATAATTTTACGCTTATTTTGTCCCAAGAATATAAAATTATAGCCCTGCCATAGTAGTTTTCTATTTATTTCCTTATATCAACAAATTTAGAAAAATAACTTATGGTAAAAAATGATTTTGTTCGGACTTGTTACACTATTGTTCTGAATTATATAATTGATAAAATAAAGCTCTGTGATCAAAAATCATCAGTGATTAAGTACAATAAATACAATCACTACAGGAACAATGATATAACATAGTTATAAGTTTGTTTTGTGTGTTGAAATTAACCATTTGGAGCTATGCAATGTAACAACTCTGAATCACTGAAACATGGAAATGAAGTTTCCTCCAGTTCTATAGAGTAACTAGCACCATCTTTTGGTCAGTACTGGAACTCCCAGTTGTTACAGTATGGCACGTGAAAGTTATTTTTCGAGTTGTTACCCTATTGAACTCGATATCGATATCGATAATATAAGAATTAATTTCGTATTACAGACTGGACAAGACTCTGCAGGACATCGTTTACAAGCTGGTACCGGAATTGTTTTTGCGCGAGATGACGAGGCGGAAGCAGTTCTACCATCAATATCCGCAGATAGCCTCGCGGATGTCTCCTGAGGAGCGCGGCGAAGACACCGAGAGGACCATCTTCAATCCGCAGGATTGCATCAGTCTGTCGATAGAATATGTCAGGTATGTGGATGGATGCTCTCATTTCGAACGGATATGTTTATATCAACTTTATTGACATGTTTTTGGATGTATAAACAACAACACGTCGAATATTTATTATACAAGGTGATTCTAAAATAGGTGGTCAAACTTTGGGAGTATATAGAGTGGGTGAAATAATTACGAAAACCTCGGTAACATTTTTTTCTGAAGTGCCCCCCAGGAAAGATACAGCCCCTCAAAGGGGGGCCTCGGAGAATTTTTTTGTATTATTATCTCCAACACCTTGTATGATGAAAATCTAAAATTTTGTTTATCCACTTACTATTCAGTGCCGGTTCGAATGGAGTTAAAATCACCTCAAAATTAAATACAAGGGGTGTGTCAAAATAGGGAGGTAGGGGGTAAAAATAACCCCAACTTCTTTGTTAGTCGCAATTTCAGTTTTTTTACATGAAATTATAAAATCTCAGGGCTATTAACATTGAAAAGGAGCTTTCGTTGAATCTCGATAAAATGAACCATTAGCGAATAAAAATTATTTTTCCAAGATTTCATTTAAATTGCAATTTTGGTGTGCACTTAAGTTCAATTATCTAGTTCAAATCTTGCAACTGAATTTTTACTTACTTCTAATCGTCTGATCAACTTGGAATCTGGCAGATGACAGTTGACAACGCGTTATGGACTTTTTGATAGAAAAAAATATGGCGGCTCGAATGTGGCTGACCAGATTTATGATTATGGTTCGATTGGATTCAAAATTGGTTTGTAAGGGTTTTTGGGGTTGTACATTTTGAATTTGTTGTCCTATTGAAAATACTAAAATAAAATAAAAACAAGCTTTTATTATTTTAACTATTGAGATAAAAAATTGAAGATGAAATAAGGTGAACGAAGACAAGCCTTTATTCAAATGCTCTGAAAATGAGAGAAAAACCAAAAGCACCTTTTCTATGTACATAGCTCTGAGATTTCATAATTTCATGTCAAAAAACTGAAATTGATGCGATGAACAAAAAAGTTGGGGTTATTTTTACCCCTGATGCCTCCCTATTTTGACACACCCCTGTATAAAATTTTGAGGTGATTCTAACTCCATTCGAACCGGCACTGAATGGTAAGTGGATGGACAAAATTTCAGATTTTCATTATACTATAGGTGTTGGAGATAATGATACAAAATCATTCTCCGATGCTCCCCTTTGAGGGGCTGTATCTTTCTTAGGGGTCACTTCAGAAAAAGATGGTACGGAGGTTTTCGTAACTATTTCACCCACTCTATATGCTCCCAAAGTTTGACCACCTATTTTAGAATCACCTTGTATATGTGTTGAACAGCTAAAAGTAGACCATGAAAAATAAAAATCCTCTGAATTTGAGAATTGACATTGAACTCAACCATGACCATAACTTGGCGGTTATTGTCTATTACAGATAAGAAAGTCAGACAAGGCGCGCAAAATTAGAGAGAGATGACAAAAGCGCAAAGTTTAAAGGGACAGTATCCCTAGTTCGCAATCGCTCGGGATTGTCGACTTGTTTTCCACACACTACTGTTTTTGTCTCGGTTCTACTGATCTCTTGTTTTAGGCATAAAACCTACTGTTTTTTTCGTTAACGTTAAACCAATAGCAAAACTGGAAAATGGCAAAATTTCACACAAGCGGTCGTAGAATTTAGGCTTCAGTGTTGATAAGGTGTGGTTTTCAGTTGAAGAATATTGTTTTAGAGACTATTCAATAGTAGTCTTGAACCTGGTCAAATTTGCTCTTATTTTAATATGTTCGCCTCATTCTTCAGAAACCATAGGGAGATTATTTCCTCAAGTGAATTTGCTGGAGTCAAAGCAGCGTCATTAGTTAAGTACAGCCAGCATTGTAGGATTTCTCTTTACCAAAAATAATTCATCTACAAGGCAATAATCTGAATTATCATGTTTTGATATGACATCACTACCTAATATGTAACAATAACAATGAAGAATCAATTGGTCATCACAGTAAGAAGATGTATGATGAAATTATACTGGAATTATCAGATTCAGTGTGATCAATAAATATAACCTTTTATTTTCGATTTTTACAAATTTTATTTTTTATTTCATTATTTTCGGTTTGATTTTTCATAGAAATAAGAGCCAAATATTTTTTCTCGTTTTTTATATAGGTTTCTATGTTTTTTTTTCAATTATAACAGCAAATTGTGATGATTATCAAATTCTACTGTTCAGTTTAGATGATCTACTGTTTTTTCGTCACCCATCTACTGCTCTGGCAAATTTTCATCTAGCAACACTGTTTCCACATTCGACAGCGCCACCACTGTGACTGATAGAAGCATTTGTTTATTGTTTTCGAAATCGATAATTTGTTTGTTAGTGTCCGAAATTTACAGACATGAAGGAAATAAATTCCATGTCCATTGTCCAGGTAAGGTACTCGGTTAAAATATCAATTGTAAACAGATTACTTGAGAAATGTTGCATGTGTTTCTGGTATACCTACCTAAGCACCTACCCAACCCTTTACCTTAATCCATAAGCAATCAACTTTAATCGTTTAAATGATGCCATTTAATCACTTGTAGATATCTCCCCTTTGAATAAAAGGAATTCAGAAAATGGAATCAGTTCTATATCGGTCTTGAGCAAGTAGTGCACAGATCTGTGGATAGTGATAGTGGTTTGAGTTGTGATCGAAGTTGAGATAGTGTTTTGAGTTGTGATTGTGCTTGAACAGTTTCTTGTTCAACTCCAATATCAGTATAATGAGTGAACAGAAAGTAGAATACCTATGCAGCAATTCCTAGTGGAAGACACCGTTGTGTATTTATAAACTGCAAGAACACCTCAGATATTTCAAAGAACATGAAGTTTTCAAAGGATGAAACATTATACCAAACTGCTTTTTTAACCAAAAAGTTATAAACAATATTGATCAGGTACCTACTTTTACTCTCTTGTGTTCAAGTAGGGTGTCATGATTCAGACAATGATTATTGTTTTCAACACTGGTATATACCTATTGAGACTAGTTTTCTAATTTACTTCTAGAACACAAGACAATCAATTCAGTCATTATGTATGTACACTGTACAGGATATTCATCGAAAAGGACCACCCCTAAATTAAAGTTTTTTCTTCAAACAAAAAAACAATATGCGGAAGTTGGATGTCCCAATGAGAGCTTTTGACACTTGATTCTTGTAATGTTGAAGAAAATGTATTTGTCATAATATGCATTGACCTCGATTTATTTTTATGAACATCCTAATTCCAAAATTGTGATGTTTTTCACTTATTGAGTATGCAATGTCGCAATTTATTGTATACCGGGTGGCTACGGAAGTATTGCCTACGGAATATCTCAGTTATTGTATGAAGTAGGTTTGTGAAATTTGAAGCGTCGATATAATGACATAAGAGCTAGAATTCGAGCATATTGACATGTCGAAGTTAACTTCCGGTCTGACCGGAAGTAACATCAACTTTCTTATTTTAAATGGAAACCCTATTTTTTTTTTCTTTTCGCTTTATTCAGCATTCAATCCCCTTTCTAATGACATATCACAAGTTGGTATCTAACCAGAAACTAGATCAGAAAAAAAATATTATTGAAATTCACCGAGTGGCCGTGGAAGCAAAATGAAAGCCAAAAATTGAAAAGTTAGCTATGGAAATCATACGTCACTTGATAACAGTTGCTACTACTGTGATATTTTATTTTCATTAGTCGGCGTTATAAAAAGCCGTCAAAAAAAATATTGGAAAAATTGGGAAAAAAATAATACTCTGTAGGTCCATAACTTAAATAGGAACATACAACTTTTTCTTGCCTGTACTATTCTGCATAACCATTCCTTTCTAATGATATAATAGAAAGTCATTTTTTGGCTTTCATTTTGCTTCCACGGCCTACTCGGTGAATTTCAATAATATTTTTTTTCTGATCTAGTTTCTGGTTATAGATACCAACTTGTGATATGTCATTAGGAAGGAAATTGAATGCCGAATAAAGCGAAAAGAAAAAAAAAATAGGGTTTCCATTTAAAATAAGAAAGTTGATGTTACTTCCGGTCAAACCGGAAGTCAACTTCGACATGTCAATATGCTCAAATTCTAGCTCTTATGTCATTATATCGATGCTCCAAATTTCACAAACCTACTTCATACAATAACTGAGATATTCCGTAGGCAATACTTCCGAAGCCACCCGGTATATATGATAGAAAAATTTCAGATAGTCTTTTTGTTATTTACTTTTATTTTATACCAGTAAAAATGAATGCATGACTGAAGCTCACAACTGTCAAGGCTCCAATGTATTCAATTGATTACTCTCGAATATTTTTTATACATTCATTTATTTCACGAATTTTGTAAAATAAACTTGTGAATCAAATATATATGATGTTGAATATTTTCAATGAATTGATTCATATATATTGTAGAAAAATATTTATAAACTAATTAAGTACAAGGCACTATCTGCATATTATATTAGTTCAAAATAAATATTCATCCTCCACAACAATTTCAGTCTGAAGTAACGATTTTTCAATTCCTGATGTTAATTATTCATAGTCAGGTGATATTAAATCTGTCTGAGCCAATCAATAAACATATTTGAACCTTTCTATGATATCAATTCAGTGTAAAAGCTTTAGGAATAAAATACTTATCACCTTTTAACAGACATTTTAAGCTTCATTATTTTCTCTCGGACTCTGTAGAATAGGTAGTAAATTCAGATTTGGTGTTTTCTCGGGATACCATTGGTGTTAGTTAGTTCATCAGTTCTGAAGCATTTAGAATTGTTTATGCTGAATTTCTCATTTCTAATGTTGACCTTTAAATACCTACCTGATCACCAGCAATCTTCAGGCAACGACCATACCACGTTGAAATATACACACACTCGTCTGATCTTGGAAGTCAAGCAACGTCGGGCGCGGTTAGTACTTGGATGGGTGACCGCTTGGGAACACCGCGTGCCGTTGCCTTTTTTTATTATTTTCGA